GTATGTCATAAATTTGTATAAAAGGGGAATAAAATGTAAAAAAAAAATTAAAACAAATTTTCATAGAAAAACACATCTGCTCTTAATTTACTATGATTATAAAAAACGATTGTCAAGACTTCTTTTGTTCTGGAGGTTGTGTGCAAACTCACTGTCAATTTATACTAATTTATACTAAATTTATACCTCTCATAGGTGGCCCTTTTTCACATGAGCCAAATGTTACATTTAAGGTACAGATGCAATATACCATACAAAGTTGCTTGTCATGTCCTTACTACCTCAATCACCTTAGAGTTAAGTCTCTTTCAGAAAGATTTTGTACTTTAATCTTTGGAAGATGGGTGTATGCCCTCATTAATGTGTGATATTCTGCCTTCTTTTTACAGTTGAGTTACTTGACTGTAGCAAACTGATCAGAACTTTCTACTGTTTTGTATCACATCCATATATCTTTTGAAAAACCCTGTGGCCATCGCAAGGCATAGAACATATCTCTTAGTAGCTCAGCTGTGAAGGGATGTTTTAATATTATGATTGCAAAAGGAACGAGTTAAAAATTTGGAGTTACTGCCAGACAAGTTGCATTGGGCTAAATAGACTATTTTGAAAGCAACTGTATGTATTAACGATCATGTTTTCTCAGATTATCATTAGAAGCTTTTATTTGCAAATTTATAATGAGGTGATCGTGTTTTCTTGTTTATAAATATGTTAGGTTTTCACATTACTAAAATTGAGACTGAAGCTTAGAAAATAAGCAATTTTGATTCAGAGATCTCGAGTTGAATTAAAAACTTTTGCATTCAATCTTGAAATTCAGAAAAGCCAGATTAAAGTCAGTAGCACCATTCTAGTGTTTAGGCTTGTATTAGTCCCAGCAGTAGCTTAGCATGTAGTAAAATTCTGGGAATGGTTCCCACAACTTGTATTTATTTGTTAAAAAAAGCAAGAACTTGAACCTGAATTGCGCATTCCTCATCCCTGAATAATGCCAGTGCCTTCGGGTGTGTCTGTGCTGTCATTGGGCGGAGCAAAAATGGTTGGTTTGATAAAAGTAAAAAAAAAAACAAAAACAAAAAACGTGTAGTAACTGTCAGTAATTTTCCCTTTCTCCTACAGCTGACTAATTAATTACCCTAAATTTTCTCATGTCAGCACTGACATTTGAGATGGAGGTTAACTTCTTTTCTTTATGTCCTCGTTAGAGATTAGCAGGGAATTTTTAAAGATACTCTTGTTTCTAGAGCTAGTGTGGTATTGTGGTTTGTGTATTACTTTCCTGGAGATCAGGGTTCAAATGCCTGTTCAGCCATCGAAACTCATTTAGGTGAACTTGGGCCAGTCACAAACACACAGCATCAGACAAAGGTCAGAGAAGAAATCCCATTTGAACAAACTTCGTCAAGAAAACCTAAGAATAGGGTCGACATAAGGTTTTGTTTTTTTTTTGGGGGGGGGGGTGACTAGATTTTTTTTCCCTTTGAGAATTTCATTCACATGTGCAGTGGCTTTCTGGACTTACTGTTTCCAAAAAGATTTCAGTCTAGTGGACATGACTAGTTGATATGCCACATGGTCACTCAAAATAATAAGCACTGAAAAAGTGCAATCTTTTTGGTGATTATGTTAAAGAAAGTTAGGTCAGGATTGTCCAATCTGGGGGCCAAAATTGTTATGTTTTAAATATTTGTTTGTAACTCAATTGCAGTTCTTCAGTGCAAACTTTGTAGACAACAACAGAATGGAATGGAAATATCAGAGTATGTCATGTCTACAAATATCAGAATATTATCTGTCATTCACATAATTGTAAACTGTTCAGACGGAAGATCTACTCAGCAATTTTAAAAGACCCGCTAAATGGAATGGCAGGTAATTAGTATTACTATGAGAGGACTTTTTTGTTGTTGCTTTTTTGTGGTGGCAGATACCACGAAAATTATTCACTGACCTTTTTTTTTTTTTGCTCATCAGTTGTAATTAGTATTAGTGTGTTTTATATGTGGCCCTGGACAATTGTTGTTCTTCCAGTGTGGCCCAGGGAAGACTCAAGGTTGGACACCCCTGGTTTACATAATCTGATGGTTTTATATCATGTTATTTTTTGGTTTAATCTGATGGTTTTATATCATGTTTGTTTGCTTTGTTCTGTTAGAAATGTAATATAATTTGACTGGCTGTCCTGACACGACAAATAAATCATGTTATTATAGCATGGTCTTTAAGATCATAATCACTCTATCAAATTTTATATTTTTTTTAATGAACATTTATACATTACTGTTTGCTTATGATGAATATAGGAAATGGCTCTCAAATTGTAGGATTTCAGGTACCCATTATAAAACTTGGTTTCTCAATCTATATAAATAAAAATGTAATGTTCGTTTGTGGGATTAACATAACTCAAAAACCACTGGGCGAATTGACACCAAATTTGGACACAATATACCTATCAGGCCAACGAGTGACCATCACTCATAAAACCCTGAAAAACACAGCGGAAAGGACTTAAAAAAGCCAAAAATAAAAAATACATTACAACGCATGTGCAAAACCACATTTTTAAAACATATATACACATACATACTCACACAAGACACATATACACAGACTGGGCCACAGCAACGGCTTGGCAGGGAACGGCTAGTGTGTGATAATTGCAGTATGTGTGGAATAAGGCAGTGAGAATAATGCAGCAGTTAGGCATATGACATATGGATGGGACACTCTGCAAATCTTTTTTTTTTTTTTTGACTTTATAGGCTTCATTAATTGGCATCCAGCTTGTGCTGTGGAGACCATTATACCCTTTCTGTTGTGGTACTGGAGGGTGGATATATAGGGCACTTTCCATGAATGCAAGCACCTTATTACACAAAGTCTCACACGATTTCTATTCATGCTACAGCCTTTCTTGCAACATCCCATATCAAAACATGTAACCCTGAAAGGATGAGGATTTTGTAAGTATTTGCAAAAGATTGAGGGCTATCATGTAGGTGATTGCAGGTGAGGGGATTGTGACCCTGACTATTGAAATAATTGGAGACATTATATCCACATGAGGCAACTAGCATACCTAAGGAAGAAGAATGGGCGAGGTAGGTGCAAACTGATGCAGACGTATCTCTGTATCAGTCCTTGCAAACTTTCGAATAGAATATTCAGATATTTAAGCATTGTTCTTCAAGTGCTTTTTCCACTACTATTTTAGAAAGTTTCCAGTCCTTAGGAGCTGTTTTTGCATGCCGCAAAGAATTTCACCAGAAATATTGTCTGAAAAATAGGATTATATATTTCCATTTGTGTGTGTCTGTGTTTTTTTTAATCCCATCCTGTAAGGACGAGTGCTTTCATTCATTTATCCATCTATCCAGGCAATCATTGGAATACCAAAATAAAATTAATCCATCAAGAAAATGTTGAGGACTGATTTTATGTAAAATTTTATGACTTCTGAAGGCTCAGATTTTGCAGGTGTATTATGCCATTCATTTTGCTATTGTCCACTTCTACTGGATCTAGCTAGAAATTATAGGAAAGGCCATGCTTTTGTATCTCATAATGATTATCTTTTAAATGAGTTAGATGAATTTATATACATAATTTCTGTCTTCTAACTGCTCTTCAGTTTTGTCAGACAACTAGAATATTTACCTGTTGCTTATTAGAAAAACAATTCACTTCTGTCTAGTAATTAATATTACTTGTTTTTGACAAGTTCAAATAAAAAGAAACCTAATTTTATTCAACTAATTAAAAAACAAGTCCTATTTACATTCCTTGGAACTTGGGGCATTTCAACACTTAGGTTGAATTGGGCCTGGATCAGCTCTGTGGAAATCAAATGCTGCACTGAGCTGATTCAGGGTAATGTGAGGCAAAACCACTTTAACTCAGCCTTGCCAGCATGTTAGCAAAAATCAGGACATAGTATGAATTCTTACCCAGTATTTGGGCTTTTCCTCGGTTTTGGGCATGATTGAACAATTGAGTCAGTTCTGTTCCAGAACCGGCCACAACTGTTCCCACTGCTGTCCTATGTTTGAGCAGCTGAAGGACATGGGATAGCAGTTGCTATCACTTCCTTTATTGAAAAAGTGGTCCATATTTACTCTTCAGTTCTTCATCCATAATATTGCTGGTGATATTACAAAGTCTACCTTGAAGGTGTTTTTGATTAACATGAATCTTAGACCAGTAAGTTTATACTTTCATATGTGTTCACTACATATGAAAAAAGGAGCCTTTGTTATTTTGACATCCACAACATTAGTTCAAAACATTTGGAAACATTTTTGTGAGTGTTTTTGAGATTAAATAACATTTGTACATTGGTTTATACCAGTTTTCTCTTAAATTAGGTACTACACAAAGTACATTTTATATAGGCTTTATTTTCCTCATATATCCATTTGAATGCTATGCCCCAAGTTTTGAGCCCACCTTACCATGTTCATGTACCATTTATATGTTTTTTTTTTAAAAAAAGTACATGACTCTAAAGAGAACTTATCTTCTCTAACATCTGTGGCTATATTTGTCTTACCCTTATGAGATTTGTCTTTTAGGCTGCATATAATCAAAATTTTCTTACATTAGAAAAAAAATGATTATAATAGAAAAAAGAAAAAATGCAATGCAAAAGTTATGTATGCATAACAGGACTGGTGAATGTATATTTCCTTATGTCCCCCCCCCCCCCCCCAATTGTAGATCCTACTTAATGAGATACAACTGCAGTGTGTGCTAAAGGAGAAAGGGTGGTCTTTTCAAAACTTAGTAGAAACTCAGCAAATACATCTGTCACTCATGAAAGGTTGGTTGTGGGCATCCCTTTTCCACACACAACTTGCCTCATTGCATTTTGAATAGAATTAAACTTTTCTTGTATATTTAGTGTATATACGTAAAAATCTTTTTTGTAACCAAAAAAAAAATGCATACAAATATGAAGGCAAATAACATCTTTTAGGGAAATGCAAGCTGTTCCTGGTACCTTCTTTTTAGGAAATGCAAACTATTTCTAGTACCTCTGCCATGGCCCCCAAATGTCAACTTTTCTCTGCCACATGTGTAGAGATAAACAATCATTAGCTGATTAGTGAATATGTAAGGGAATAGGTGTGCATCCACACTGTAGAATTAATAGAGTTTGATACCACTTTAAATGTCATTGCTTAATGCTATGAAATTCTGGGAGTTGTAGTTTGATGAAGCACCAGTACTCTTTGGCAAAGAAGACTAAATACATTGTAAAACTACAAAAGTGCTGTTAGTGTAGATGTACCCTAGGGTAAGAGTGAGTAGCTTGGTAATGGCCAACTAAAAATGGTTAAACATGCAACAAAGAAGTGGTACAACTAGTAAAAATAATCATTTTTATCTTTTGTCATTAAATATGAACATATGAGTATAATTGAAAGTAAGTCAGTTTAACCAAGTGTTTCTCAAACTCTGTTCCTCTAGGTGTTTTGGACTGCAGCTCCCAGAAATCCCAGCCAGTTTACCAGCTGTTAGGAATTGTGGGAGCTGAAGTCCAAAACATCTGGATGTACATGCAGAGTTTGAGAAAGACTGGAGTTGTGCATACTGAAGGTTTAGTATAGGAGCTAAACATAGAGGGCTGTATCACCCTATAAATAAAGCAATAATTCTCTTGATTTTCTCTTGCTTTTTGCCCCATTCCAGAGTAAAGCGTGTGATGAGAGTTTGTAAGAACATATTAAAAACCATTTTGGATCAGGCTTGGAGCATGTTTAGTCCAGCATTATGTTTTTGTAGCAGCTAACCAGTTGTCTATGGAAAGGTCAGAAGTGGTACATGAATTCAGTAGTGTCTTTCTGCTTGTTCAGTAACTGGCACTCAGAGCTATAATGCCTTTCTTAGTGGAAGCAGTCTATAATTACTACTAGTAAGCATTGATGGTCTTTTCCTCCATGAAATAGGCAGGAAGGTCCACAGCCATTCAATATGCTATGTTTAAAGAATTTTAGTGTTGTAATTAATATTCTAAAATATAGTCTGGAAACTTTTATTGTACAAGCCAGAAATGATACGAGGTCAGAGATATGTGGACTGACTTACTTCATGGTAAGTCAGTAAGTTCAGATGCCTGTGGTAGGTCCACAAGCAAAAGATGCGCAATAGCAGTCTAGTAGCGTATTCTTTGTTCTGCTTCTACATATTCCAGTTTAGTATGTTACAGGCAGAATGCCTTACTACATGTAGCTTGTACTGTGAACTAAAGTATTTACTATCTTGTAGCTGGTTGTGGCTTGTGTCATAGGAATATGTTGTATAACTTGTCAGCTTGTTTTGCAGTTACATTTTTTGAGGTCTTTGTGACTCTCATATGCTTTCATGTTCTATGCCTGCAAAAGACCCCATTTAATGCTTTTTAGAGTAGAGTGAAAAAAATTATGAACAATACACATACAGTGTTCCTTCGCAACTTTGCGGTTCGCTTTTCGCAGACTTGCTGTTTCGCGGGTTTTTGCCTCCTGGCAATGATGGACTGTAGAAGGGGGTTTCACCCTCTCCCTTGGGAGAGAGACAGCCAATCATAAAAAAGAGAGGAGATACAAAGCAGTATGTAAATCACGGTCTTATAGCTCCATCCTTTTAGCTAGCAAAAAAAAAAAAAAGTGCACGGTGCCTTTAAATCTCTCCTTACTTCTGCCTCACCCTCAGAGTGCGCTATATATATATAGTGTCCCTACTTCACGGATTTTCACTTTTTGCGGGTGGTCCTGGAACTAACACCTGCGATAAATGAGGGAACACTGTACTCTCAAAGGGTATGGTTCCCATTTTTCCTGCTCTGTGGTTTATGTTGGAGATGGAATTTAATTCTTCCCTCATCTTTGGTTTTTATTTATTCCTCCTGTTTCTGTCATTTCTCTTCTCTCCTGTTGTGTTGGAACATTGTGTTCATTTTGCAGTACAACTTTATGCATTTGAAAATACTTTGTGTCTTGAAGATCCTGTTCTGTAAACATTCTATAGCTTATAGTAGCAAGTGTTTGAGCTTGAGGAAGTACCGTAATTATGCCATGTATTATCTATAGTTACTACTTCTATAAATTGTAGAAATCCATTTTTGCATTGCGGGTTATTTATATGTTTCTTACGAGAATGGTTTCAGTTTATTTGTAAAGCACATAATATAAGAATTTTAAACGTCTAAAATATGAAGATAACAAACCAGATTAATATCTAAAAATCATAAATGAACAGCATATTTAACCAAGACTGATGTGTAGTTAATCTTTCAGACATCATGGTCAGACATCAACTCTCTGTCTTTATATGACTTGGTATTCTCTTGTAAATGCTGTTAATTTTTGTATGCGTTCACAGAAACAGGATTAACTATTTTGATATGAAAGTTGTGATCTTATAACATTTATTTTTTCTTTTGTTTCTTCACAGATGATGATGTACCTGCAGATATGGTTGCAGAAGAATCAGGTCCTGGTGCACAAAATAGTCCATACCAACTTCGCAGAAAAACTCTTTTACCTAAAAGAACAGCTTGCCCTGCAAAGAGCAGTATGGAGGTAACTTTGAAAATACTAAATTTACATTGCTTAAAATGAGTGCATAACACTTTGGTTAACATTTCACTCTTAAGAAAAAGTCTGTTGGGAATTTTTTTTGAGAAAGCTATTTCTAATATATGTTTTTGAAAGCTAATTTTATTTTCCTTTAAAATTGCTAGGGTGCTTCTACTTCAGCCACAGAGAACTTCGGTCATCGTGCAAAACGTGCTAGAGTATCTGGAAAATCCCAAGATTTATCAGGTAATTGTCTTTTGTGGTAATTGGAAGGGTAAAAGGATTGTTCTGCAAATGAACAGTTTTTTTAAAGGGAAAATGTTAGGATAGTAATAGTCAAGTCTCTTTCCTTTCCTTTTGTCAAAAAAAGCTACTTGAATATCAGTTTGCTTGAGAAGATGGTAATGATGTAATTGCATGTATGTAACAGAGAGAAACTTATATGTAATTTGGCAGGTAAGAAAGGAAGAAAATAGATTTTTTAGTGACTGGGGAGAATCCAATGCTTACAATGGACAATAGATTGGAAGTAAACTATGTAACTAAGGACAAATCCAGTGGTTCTCAACCCGGGGTCCCCAGATGTTTCTGGCCTACAACTCCAGAAATCCCAGCCAGTTTACCAGCTGTTAGGATTTCTGGGAGTTGAGGGCCAAAAACATCTGGGGACCCCAGGTTGAGAACAACTGGACTAATCTATTTTGTAGAATTAGTGCAGTTTGACCTGTTTGTAACTGCCATAGCTCAAAGCTATGGATTCATGGGATTTGTAATTTTCTAAAGTCTTTATCCTTTTGGCCAGTGCTGGTGTCTGAACCAAACTACAAACCCCATGATTCCATACCTTTGAGCTCTGGCAGTTAAAGTGGTGTCAAACTACATTAATTGGAGAGTGTAGATCCAGCTTAGGAGAAATCTAAAAATTAATCTGGTCGAGATGGAACATTATCCTGTCTTCTTCAGGGGTGGTGAATCCATTTTTAATTTTATTCTTCGTGTCCTCTGCGAAATCCACACCTATGGGTTTCCCCTTGCGCATGCGCAGAAATCCGGAACATTCTAAGTTTGATGAAATAAAAAATGATTATTTAAGGCTCCGCCCACCTCCCCGCCCCCTCGGTATATATATCCCGCCGCGTGCGGGTGAGCTCTAGTTCCTTTTCCGCGCTAATCCGGCAGCATCTTGGAACATTCGCCCACTCTCTACCGGCTTTTTTCGACTAAGGACTTCCCTTCTGACTCCGTCTTTCTCCACTCCTGACCCGGACAGACTGACTACTCTCTAATTCAGGCTAGCATGTCTTCTCCGTATTTTAAAAACTGCTCGGCCTGCGGGGCTACTTTGCCCGAGGCCGATAAGCATTCCAAATGTTTGTTATGCTTGGGGGAGGCTCACAATCTCCAATCCTGTGAGATATGTTTAAGTTTCACCAGTAGAGCCCGCAAAGGCAGAGATAATCGTTTAAAAGCTCTCCTTTATGAACGCGCCTTGGCTCCCCAGACGCTCCCTCCCCCTTCCCATTCTTCCCCAACCCAAGAGCTCACTCAGCCTTCCTCTCCACGTGCTGGAGATAGGCGAGATTCGAGCCAGGCAAACGCTTCCTCAGTGGAGCCGCCTAAAAAGAAATCAAAGCCCTCAAAACAAGCCACGAGGGCAGCTAAACCAAAAGAAAAATCTTCAAAACAAAAAAAGGGACGGCAACTCACTGGCGAACAGCCCTTGAGCCCCCCTATGCTGGAACCGGCCTCCCACCCTCCCGGTTCCGCCCTTCAGCTCCAAGATCCCCTCCCTCCTATGCTCCAGTTGGAAGAGCCTACGTACCTTCCCCCTCTGGAGCTCCTGGATCCGCTCCAAAACCAGCCGAACGCGGAGCTTTCTCCTCCGCCCCTCCCACCCTCCCAATCCTCACCTCCCCCCTCCCCCAGCCCACCAGATTCGCCGGTACCGAGGGAGTCTCCTCCCTCGGAGCAGCGCACTCCCGCGGCGCGGGCCCCGCGCCGCCGTCAGCGCTCTCTCTCTCCTTCCCCTCATCCCCCTCCTAACCCCCACCCTTCCAAGAGAGCTAGATCTGACCAATACCATCCCTATAGCCCTCAAGATTACCCTTATCACCTCTACCCTCCCCCCCACCTTTTCCTATGTACCCCTTCTATTATCCACCCCCCCCACCCACACTAAGGACTACAATACCCAGTATCCACCCCAGTTTGGATACCCATATCCACCTCATGCAGCCCCTACCGCTACACTCTCTCGCCCTCCACAGGAACACATTGAACCAGATCCCCCCAACCACAAGACCCCCTCGCACAAGCTCACCAAGAGGTTGAGACAGTAGACCTGGAGTCCACTGATGATACTCCAGTCATACATGAACCCCTTCCAGATTCTGATCCTTCTCCCAAAAATTTGGAGGAATTTAAAAAGTTCTCTGCGCTGTTAATAAGACTTTCCAGGTCCCTGAATCTTTCTACACCTGAACCCACAGATACTGTGGTAGACCCATGCTTTACTTCTACTGAACAACAACAACCTACTTCCACTGTGTTGCCCACTTTACCCTTTCTACTAAAAATCTTAAAAAATACTGGTGTTGCTCCGGCTATGATCCCGGCAACCCCCAAAAGGGCAGAAAATTTATACCGTATTGATCTATCTTCAGCCTCATGGCTATCTAAAATGCCTAAAGCAAATTCCATTGTAACTGATGCTCAACCAAAACCTGTCCAACCAAACCAAACCTCCCCTTCTGATAAAGAGGGAAGGAAACTTGACTCTATGGCCAAAAAATTTTATTCCTCAGCATGCCTATTCGCACGCATGGCCCATTACGGAGTTTATATGAGTGTTTATCAAACCCTCCTATGGAACAAAATATCACCCTACTTGGAGTTATTACCTCCAGCTGACCAACCACTTGCCATGGCTTTTAAAGAAGAAGCTCTTCTCCTATCATCTCTGCAAAAAGACCTTGCGAGAAACACAGCTGACACTTCTGGCAAACTCATTGCAGGCTCCGTGGCCCTTCGCCGCCATGCCTGGCTGAGGGCTGCTATCCTTTCTCAATCACAACGCACCCTCATTGAAAACCTTCCCATGGATGAGGCAGGCCTATTCAATCCTGAGACTGATTCACAACTTGAACATTCTCACAAAATGAAACAAACCGTCTTCAAATATGACCAGCAGCCCTACTCCCATCAACGTCAACGATGGGGCTCATACTACTACCGCCCTCATTACTACAGCAGACCCTATAATACCTCCTTCTACAGAGGACTTCAAAGATCTTACACCCAGTCTACGGCCCCGAGGCGGCCCCAGCTCCCTTTCAGAGGTCAGTACCGTGGCACCAGACCCTCCAACAACTCTAAGCGCCGTTTTTAGCACATCACTGACCAAAACCACTCCTCCTTCCACACATACACTACCACTCACATACCTCAATAGACTACAATCCTTTCTTCCAGTATGGCAATCCATTACTACAGATGCCTGGGTCTTAGACATAATTAAAAGGGGATATGCGATAGAGTTTGACACCTACCCACCTGTGGGAAAGGTCCTCCTTACACAGCCCTCTCAAGAGATCTGGGAGGAAATACACTCCCTCCTTCAAAAGGGCGCCATATCTTCTAACCCCACACACAATACAAACTCCTGCTTCTTTTCTCAATATTTCCTAGTAGACAAAAGGGATGGGGGGCTACGCCCCATCCTGGATCTTCGCAGACTCAATACCTTCATCACACCACGCAAGTTCCGCATGGTTACACTTCCTAGCATACTACCTTTCATTCCACCAGGAGCATGGCTAGCGACGGTGGACCTACGAGACGCCTACTTCCACATCTCAATCAGAGAATCACACCGCAGATTCCTCACCTTTGCAGTCCAAGACAGCCATTTCTCGTTTAACTCTCTCCCGTTTGGGTTGTCCACGGCACCCAGGGTGTTCACAAAATGCATGTCAGTCATAGCGGCGCACCTCCGCCAGCAGGACATTGTGGTTTTTCCGTACCTGGATGACTGGTTATTTTGTTCTGTATCAAAGACACAACTATGCGA